ATAATTATAACCCATATTAGTAGGGGACTTATAACTCCGTTTGTAACTTGTAACTACCCATGAACCTGCAAGTAAGGCTTGGGCTCTAAGCATGACCCCGGAGGCCCTGTTTGCTGTTGTGTTGCTGCATGCCGGGTGCCAGACGACCGCTTCATGCATGGCAGCATATGGCAGCTTTTCTCGTTTAGGGCGCTAGGGTTTAGGGATTTGAGCTCAGTAACATGATTTTGGGGATGGCTGTGATTGGTGTGTCTTCACTGGTTGTACCCGCTTCAGTCTTTTAAGCAGCCCCAACCTTGTTTGGGGATGCAGGGGTTTTCTCCCACACGCGGCGGGTTTTGCCTGCATCCGTGCATATACCTTACCTAGCACAAGTCAGTATATGCGCTGAGGCATTGCAATTTGTCACTTCCGGGGCATGTTACTGCCAATGTTCCTTTGAAGTAGTATTGCACATGTTGGAGTCTGGAAGTTTTGGCTCCAGAGCTCGGGCTCTATCGGTGAATGCACGCAGAGACCTTGGCTTCTGAGCGTGATGAAGCTTCAGGAAGGCCAAATCACGGGATCGAAACAGCTGAAGGGTCTGAAGAAGGGCCTGCCGGACAAGCTTTGGTCAGAGTCGGAGAAGTCGGCCACGCCCCAGCTGACCCCAGAGATTATCGATGCTTTGAGGCGTAAGGTGCTGCAGGCCAGCTTCTTCATGGCGGACAAGGACTGTGACAATCAGCAGCTTGATGCCAGTTTGGGATTAGTTTCAATTTCCCTTGAGACATTTCAGAGGTAATTCTCTGCCTAATACAACGTTTAGCAGTTCTGAAGTCTTAAGCTTCAACCGAGGCTATCCAAAGCAGAGTTTATGCTGATGGTCCGCCGGGGAGACCCCTACATGAAGCAAAAAGAAATCGAGAAGAGCTTCATCCTCGCCACCCTCGGAAATGGTGCCGTCAGCTTCGACGCGTTTGCTGCGTGGGTTTCCCTGAAGGACTACCAAGAGGAGGCGCATGCTCTTATCGACCCATTGAAGGCAGTGTGGCCTCAGTAGTACCCTTTTCGCACTTTTCTTGGGGGGGGTCTCTTTATTGGAACTGAATAGTAGGACAAGGGTACATTTTCCTCTTCAAGTGGGCAGCCTAAAAGGTAGTGTGGCACCTGTGGAACCTGGACGGCGACGACTCCCTTAGCATTCCAGAGTTCGAGCACTGCATTAAGCAGGCTTTCCCCAAGATGAAAAGGATAGAGCTGCTGCGCATCATTCGTGCGATAGACGAAGACTTCAGTGGCGTAGTGACTCAGGAAGAGTTTGGACTCTTCCTTTGTCCACCGGAGGCCTAAGCTTGAGTCAGCCTGGGTAATGTTGGGGCCTTCAGAAGTTCAAAGGTTTTTGGGGGTTAAAGGAATCTTAATGCATAGTGTTACTGACTACTCACCCCCAGATAAGATAATCGCCTTCGGCGGAGGCGGAGGGCGCACATGTCGGACATGTCCTTAGGTCACGTCCTTCACTTGTAAATGAATATCCGAAGTTCCACCATAGGTTTCGAAGATTTTACCGGGAGTTTCGGAACAAGGGCGGGAGCCCTCATGTAGATCCTAGATACTCTACCCTAAACCCTAAACTTTATGATCCGAACTACAAGGACCTCTGCTTCGAAAAGCCCTTCTACGCTTCTGAAGCTCCCATTTGCCAAAAGAGGAGTAGGGCTGATTTAGTGCGGAGTACCATGCCTTGGCCACGGGGTCACGGCAGGACTTTTCAAATCTTCGGCCCTGTCTTCCTGTATGCTTAGAAAATCATGTAGACCCTTGATTATTAAAAAATCCAAGTCCCGGCATCAGAGATGTAAGATGTATAGGGGTCCGAAATGGTCCGAATCTCGAGGCCCTTGGAGACAGCGTTTGTATAAATCAAGGGTCCACATCACCAGACTCCACCCTCCGGAGCTTTTAATCGTGTACAGCAGCGAGGGACGTAGCCGCCTAATTGAAGAATTGCGTTTTGCCAGACATGGGGAGCACGTTGCAGACGGGCCCCTGTATGCCCTTTTTTTTATTCGTCCTGCCGGCAGGTAAACGGCGGACGCATTGCCCCCCCGGTCAGGTTTCAAGCTGCAGAGTCGGTATAGGGGGCAGTCCCCTGGGCCTAAAAAACACCGAAACATGAAACACCCTGGATCCCCTAAACCTGAGAATCCTGTGCTTATGAAAGCGACGACCTGGACACCTGACACAGTGGTACGGCCTTGTCTCCTGCTGAATGGGCAGACCAGCAAGATCCGACGCAAGAAGCCGGTGCTCTAGATTTGTCAGCAGTCGTACTCTCGTTGGGGGGGTTTTCAGAAACTCAGGTGTCTTGACAATGAAGATCCTACCATTTGGTGTTTTTAGTGGTGGGTTCTGATTCTTGCGAAAGCCTTTACGACCTTTTCCACCACAAGACGTAGAAGGGCACACTTTATGATGAAAGGGGTTGCTGCGGAACCTATGAAGTGGTGAGCAAAGGCAAGATACCATAGTATCGCAACTTCAACTATGCAAGTTCCTCCAAGAGCGCGCTGAAAACCAAATGCCCATATCACAAATCTCAAGCCCACCATCTCCCGGGTTTAGGGGTTTGGAGGTTTGGAGTTTATGGTTTTGGTGATTTTGGCTTCGGGATTCAGTCGGGACAGGCTGAATCCCGAAGCCAAATCCCCAAACCCATAATCTCCAAACCCCCAAACCCATACACTCCAAAATCCCCACACCCCTAAACCCTGAATCCCCGAAAGCGTTTCCCCAGGCCCTGGACCCCCAGACCCCAAGCCCTGCGAAACCGACATGCCCGAAGCATCCCGAAGTGCTGCGAGCCGCAAACTTCGTTCTACCATGGTATCATACTTTATTCTAGTCTATTCTATTCTATTGCGTTACATTAGTTATATTGTATTGAGACTTGTTTCCTTAGCCGAAAAAAACCAAGGCGTATCTCAACCCTAAACCCAGCCCTGGGGCCCTGGACCCTACACTCTGAAGCCCAAAGTCGCTCCGATATCCTCAGCGAAGCATCAAGCCCCGATCCCGATGTCCGAGTTGTGAGAGCGTAGACCCTAGACCCCTAAAACCTAAACCTAAAGCTTTGAACAAAGCCTGCTCTTTGCCAGGAAGATGCGTCAGCTCCTCGCCAAAGCGCTTGGCCTTGGCGAGGCTTTCGCAGAAGCCTCGCGCCCCTTGGCCAAGGGGAGTTTTAAAACAGGGAAGCTTGCTAAAGACATTTTTGTAGTTCTATTCCGTAGGGTTTGGGGTTAGGGAGGTAAAGCCCGTGTAGCAACAATCGCCGTACTATAGTTGCCTGAACAACCAGTAACGTCCTTTGCTCGGCTTCCGTGATATGTTTATACTGTAGAAGTCCTTCCGTCTCCAGTTCAATTGCTCGGGCTTAGATATTAGGAGACGTTAGGAGCAGTCGACTTAGCTCATTGTAGCAAGTTTAAGCAGTGACCTCCCCAAAGCCTCGTTTCTAAGTATTACTTGGAGGTTCATGGGTAGTTATAATAAGTATGGTTGTAAGTCCCCTAGTATGGGTTATAATTATAGTTACCCTACTTATAACCCTATTTATAACTACCCATGAACCTCCAAGTAAGCCCAGAAAAGGAGAACCTAAGCCTTGGCCCTTACTTAAAGCTCCCCAAGTCTCAGAGAGAGAGAGCGAGAGATAATGTCAACTCGCTCCACCCAGCGCAGGAAGATACCTTTAGTCATCTTGAGGATACCACTGTTCGTGACAGTATGTTTCAACATCTGGGTGTAAGTTATGCAGCCAACCCTTAAGCCCCGAGGCCCTGAATCGCAAAAATGCCCTTTGCTTCAAACCCTCAGTTTGCCAAAAGCCCTCCACAAAACTCAGAAGCCATAGTCATGCTACCCTTTTGGTGGAAGGCTTTAGGCCCTCAACCCTTCCACCAGCTGGAAAAAGGGCCCGGTCAAAAAAAAAAAAAACTTTCCACCAAATTGGGCATTCTGACTAACAGCAAGGAAAGAGCCTACCCAAAAAAAGGAAGCACAACACGGTAAAGAAGCCAAGTGCCCAGGCAGAGGCGAGCTCGAAGAGCTGACAGATCCTTGACCAACCTATCTTTTTGTGCTTCGAGGAGTTAACTTTTTTGCCTTTAGGTAACCTAAAGCTCCAAGGGAGCATAATTAAAAAAAGCCGTCGTGTTGTGTTGCTTCTAAGGGCGCTTAAGTATCGGGTTTTGTGGAGAAGATGAGGAGACTTAGTGGGCCATAGGTGAGGTCATTAAGTAGCAGAACCCAAGATGTAGGAGACTTCTAAGCTCAACTTGTTATCTGCTTGCTAAGTCCCCTGACTCGAAGCCTACTTACATACTATGTAAGTCCTCCTGTAAACCCTAGACCTTAAACCCTAAACCCTAAACTCCAACTCTGCAAATCTCAAACCGACTTACCACCCTGCAATGCGGGCACGTCCTTGCTAAGTAGATCTAAGTAGGAGGCAAAAAACTCTAACCAGGGGTCTACGTTTACATTGTTAGGGGGGGTCATCCGGTCATGGTGTGGCCGAGGCCGAGGTTCCGGTTTAGATGAAGGCTTAGGGGCTTTGGGTGTTAGGGTTCATTTAGGGCTTTGGCTTCATGGATTCAGGGGTTCATTTAGGGTTTTGGCTTCATGGATTTTAGGGTTCATTTAGGGCTTTGAGGTCTCTAGGGTTCAGCGTTTTGGCTTAGGATTCAGGCTTTACGGATTTAGGGCTTTAGGGTTCAAGTACTGGTTCACCAGGTTCCTTGTGTTCAGCCCTACAAGAGCATACGCTTCCTGTATTCTGAAAGTTTAACCTTGTATTTCGGTGATGTCGGTGGTTTGTCGGGGAATCAAGTAAGCCCTTGTTCCATTGGTTCATGAGCCAAAACTACTTTTGGAGCCTTAATTAATTACCAATACTATTTTGGGGGTTCCTTAGTATAAATCTAGTATAATGAGCCCCAAAACCCTATTTTAATGATTATTAAGGCCCCTATATTAAACCCTTATAGTATCCCTTTTAAGGAACCCTTTACAGGAACCCCAAAATATTAAGGCCCCTCTGTTTAGGAGCCAGAACCACAGCTGTTCTTGGCTCAGGATCTGGAAGCCACGGCGCTCGCGACTCTGCAGCCGCTCGGAGCCAAATTTGAAGATCAATCCTTAAGGTCTTGGGTCTTTTTTTAACAGGTTTAGGGTTTAGGGTTCAGGGTTTTTTTTTGCCGGCGTCTCCCCAGGGTTATAAGGGTTTTAATCCTTAAGGTCTTGGTTTTTTTTGACAGGGGTCTCCCAAGGGTTATAAGGATTTTAATCCTTAAGGTCTTGGGTCTTTTTCTACCGGGATCTCCCAAAAAATTATATAAGGGTTTTGAAAAGGTCGCTTTGGATTTCTATCCATACAATTCTCCCAGAATTCTATAAGGGTTTTGAACAGCCTTTTGGAGTTGCAACAACAGGGCTTTACAGGGGGGTCATACGTCGAAACTCGGGGATTCCCATCTTCTGCAAGTCCTGTACACCCGAACCACTACGTCCTTCCGGCCCTGCTTCTTAGGGGTACTTAGAAGCGATTTTTAATCTTTGGCTACTACAAACCCTAAGAAGCAGCTAAAAATATAATTTTTGCTAGGGGTCTAAGTTCAGTATAGGCTTCCCAAACCTCCAACCCCACAAGCCCTTTTTAAAGGAGCTGGGGATTCGCCTCGGACGCCGCCATGAACGCGCTGGCCGTGGCCCGAGAGGAGACCGGTACTCCTGTACTGGGAGGTTCATGGGTAGTTATAAGTATGGCTATAAGTCCCCTAATACTGGCTATAACTATAGTTACCTTACTTATAACCCCACTTATAAGTACCCATGAACCTCCAAGTAGTAGAAGCCAGAAAGTTAGAACTTGTTGTGACTTAGCCTCGTGCCTCAGGTCCTCAGTGGCAATAAAGGTTAAGGGGTAAAGGGTTTTCAAGTTCTGAGTCGGTCTAAACTACGAGCCAGAAAGTTGGGACATTGTTATCTAGCACTAATCATCCTAAATCCATGCTCCAACTTTAAGGGTCCGCTAAAGGAGACAGATGGACACACGCTGGTCCAATCCTCATGTCGAAAATGCGGAAACCCGAAACCCCAAAGACTTTGAGTCCCAGAATCGCCACGCCCCAATCTCTTACAGTCCGCAAAAAGCCATGCGCTCGAAGCCACCCCAACAAGCCTAAAATTCCCAAAAATGCTACACCCTAAACCCTCAACCCTGCCCTCCTCCCGCAAACCCTAAACCCTGCAGCGTACCTCCCCCATTCTCATCGGTAAGTTCCAGGAGCCCAACTCGAGCGAAACGGCCGAGTCGCTGGCGGAGCCTGGGTTTCGGAGCTTTCGGAGGGAGGTTTCTCAATATGGGGGAGTGCCTACCAGAAGGGCTTTAATGATCATGTAGTTGGAATAGTTTTCCTTGAGGCTCCTCAAATGATAAAGCACACACAAAAAACAATGTTTCATTCCCCCCCTGCCAAGGTTCCAGGATGTAAAGCTGATGCCTTGGTTTCAGGAATCTAAGGGAAGGGACACTTGCTATCATATAGAGGTCTGAATGGGCGCATAGTCTCGCCTTACAGCCCCTCTGTAACTATGCTACGGTTCGAGGTTTAGGGTAGATTGACAAGGCCGTTGCAAGGGTATATTACCCAATTCTGTATTATGGCCTTCCAAGGTCTTCTATGAAGCAGGGTTTATGGTGTATTGTGAGCGCATGTAGGACTCTGTAGGCATGTTCGTGCCTGTATGTGCTACTTCTAGACTGCATCCTCCATAGACCTCCTGACTCCTCAATGCCTTGTACTGTCACACATCTGTATGAGAATCCTATGGTTTCCCCGACACCTTCAACCTTTCAGAGTTTTTCGTGCATTGAATCAGCGCCTAGGCTAAGGTTTTCGATTGCAGAAGAGGGTTCATGACACCAAAACTCACCAAACTAGCTCGGCAACCGAGCCACGTACTCCCTTCAGCCAAGCCCAAGAGGCCTGGCGCCTTGAATCCTAAAGCCGACTTAGACCCCAATGTAGCCCTGAACCCAAACCGAAGTAACGGTTTAGGGCTCAAAGGCATGCAATACGGGTTAAAGTAGCCCAAAGCCTTAATCACATTCCCCAAAACCCTACTCCCGAACTTGCCCAAGTTGCTTAAACCCGAAGCTCTAGGCCCCACGAGCTCCCTAAACCCTAAGGCCAGAACACAAGCTGCAGTAGATGACTTTGTCAGCCGTCTTATCTCGTGCACAGACTCTCATGGGGTGATTTTAAAGCGATTTGGCAACAAGTCAGCAAAGAACATGGGAATGAGGTTGGGCTACATGACGTCCTACATTCACTCTAAAGCCAACGAAGCGTCCGATCCGGACGAGGAAACTTCTGATACAGAACCGGGTATGCTGGGTTTAACCGTGGAAAGATCACAAAGATCATGTGATCGGTGAATCATTGTATGGCGGGGAGTGTTCTCTCGGCAGCACGATTTGGTAATCCTGGTTCTTGTCAGGCTGTTCTGTTCGTCCACGAATGGCAGACAAAGTCGACCTAATGCCACATACCGATGCTGGGACTATTCTGCAAGTGCACTTGCTGGTGGCAAAGAGCGATGGCACGTGGAGGAAATGGATGCTTCTGGAGACGAGGTGAAATTTCTTATGGATTGAGCCATAAAGCTCGGACAAAGTTGCTGTTCAGGATCGCTTTACTCGAAAGGTGAAGCTCTAGATAGGTGGGGGGGTGATGGCTTCCTCCCACTGAGCGAGTTGATAGGTCAGTCAAATCGCCGGCCTTAATGACGAGGCTGTTTGGCAATGCTTGGCTTGGCATGCACCACCACTGAGGGCGTGCTGAGACGCTAGACTCAGGCTACTTTCTTGGCCATCGGGCAACCAATACCGGAAGCTCCGTGAACCCTACATCCTGTGCCCTAAGCTCCCGAAGTTCCGCAAGTGCCCTGAACCCTAAACCCTAAACCCCTGCCTCTCCCCGTGCCCTAAGCTCCTCAAGTTCCATGCACCCTAAGCCCACAGCTCCCCAAAACCCAGGTTGCCTGAGTTCCCTAAACCCATTAAACCCCAAACTCCGACTCCTGAAGCCTTAAATGGGTAGTTCTCTAAAATAGGGTCCCTGTTAGGGTTCTTCTTATAAGGGTGCCGTACTATATTGGGGACCCAAAAAGGGAACCTAATTTAGAGAACTACCAAACTTCCTAAACCCCTAGACCCTTTTTTTTGGAGGAGCGGCTGCGGGTTTGGCTCTGCCTCCACCTGCCGGAAGATGAGATTCCGGAGGCTCCGGGCTTTGGGATTTTGGGGGCTTAATGTAGGGGCCTAATCGATTACCTATGTTATTTTGGGGGTTCCTTATTATACATATATTGGTATAATGGACTTCAAAACCCTAGTCGCCCAAAGTTTTTGGTACGGTTTTGCGATCTGAGGTCTGGCGGAAAGGGCTTAGGGTTTTAGATTGAGGAGCTTTTGCTTACGGGCCAGGGGTTTAGGTTTACCAGACAGGTTTGATATGGTGTTGATGAGGGTTGTACATGAACGGCTCCACGAGAAGATTTGGGGCTCAGCACGCACGAGATTGACAGATTTGGGGGTTGGGGTTTTTGGAGAGAGCGCAGGGAAGGATGAGAGAGACATCATGGATTACCTGAGGACGTAAGCGCTAATTCCACGAGGCCCTACTGACTACTGCAAAGCCCTGGACCCCGAAGACCTATCTTAGAACGCAGATGAACAGCAGCTGCCCATGTGGCAAGTGTAGGGCGCCTCTCTCTGCAGATGTAGCGAGAGCGTCTTGTAGACGCTTCACGGCTTCCGGGTTCAGTGTTTAAGGCCGCCATTGCAAATCAACACTGGCACTGTGATGGTCTTGATGGACACAAGCAGCCGGTAACAGAGCCCATATTGTTGGGCAGGCATTGATGAAGAAATGCATGTGACAATGTGGCAACGCCTTCGAAAAAGAGTCATCACGTGAGATATCTTGCGTCTACATACCTTCATAGTGCCTTTCGAGGCCTTTGAGGAATTCTATTTCCGGAGGCTGGGCCTAAAATGGGCAACCTAGCCCGATAAACCCTCACGCCCTAAAGGCTTCGTTTATACGGTTTTCGCAGAATCCTGAGACGAGCCGTCTGGATCAAACACTGTAAGCCCCCAAACCCAACCCTGAGCCTGAGCATCCAAAAGCCCAACAACCCTAAGTAGTTTGGAAGCCTGGAGCTTCTAGCATACGGACCATCCCAGTGAAGCCTTAGTGTTCTTCATTCTAGTTACGGTATATCATCCCACCCAAGCCGGATTCTAATTATCATGACCTTACTGTAGTAACCCGTATGGATCCTGAAAGGGGCCCTTCAAGGAAGCCTCTTGCAATTCTAAGGGCCCTTAACAAGCCTAAATCTTAGACTCGACATAGTTGTTGTATAAACACTAGACCCCCGAAAGCTTATATATTCCACTTATCAAGACCCCGAAACCCTCAACCCTAAACCCTAAACTGCCTGTTCCCGTGGGCTCTCTGACTGTTCGCAGTTGGAAAAAGGTGTCAAAAAAACCCTAAAGACCCTGTAAACCTAAAACCCGGGCGCCAGGTCTTTGCGGCCGGCAAGGGCCAGTTCGAAGTGCGAACAGCGCGGGAGCCGGCCAAGGAGCTGGGAGTCGACTATAGGGTTCTATCATGGGGTCCCCTTAGGGTTGAGGGTTTAGGGTTCTATCACGGTTTAAGGTTCTATCACGGGGTCCCCTTGAATTGAAAGGAACTTTGGGGTTTAGGGTTGAGGGTTTAGGGTTCGGGGTCCCTTTGCAAGGAACTTTAGGGTTGAGGGTTCAGGGTTCTATCATGGGGTCCCCTTGAAAGGAACTTTAGGGTTTAGGGTTTAGGGTTCTATCGTGGGGTCCCCTTGCAAGGAACTTTAGGGTTTAGGGTTTCGGGTTCTATCATGGGGTCCCCTTAGGGTTGAGGGTTTAGGGTTCTATCACGGTTTAAGGTTCTATCATGGGGTCCCTTGGCAAGGAACTTTAGGGTTGAGGGTATCATGAGGTCCCCTTGAAAGGAACTTTAGGGTTGAGGGTTGAGGGTTTAGGCTTCTATCACGGTCTAAGGTTCTATCACGGGGTCCGATTGAATTGAAAGGAACTTTGGGGTTTAGGGTTGAGGGCTTAGGGTTCTACCGTGGGGTCCCCTTGAAAGGAACTTTAGGGTTTAGGGTT